AGGAATCTGGTGCTACGGAATGCACCAGAAGACACTGTGGGGAGCTCCTGTCTCCCTCTTCCCAGGGTGAACCGGTGGGGGTGGGGGTGGCGGGGAGGGGCGACCAGGATCCAAGGATTACAGGGAGATGGAGATGACTAAGCAGAGCCTGGGTCTGGGGGCACTGGGGCAACCATCTGTTGGGGGGGCGGGGCCTGGAACAGCAGTCCAGGCAGAGGAACAGAGTGCAAAAAGCCTGAGGCTGGGTGTCAGGGGGCAGTGGGGCCCGGGTAAAGGCAGTGCTAGGGGTGGGGTGGAGGTGAGAGGAGTCAGACAATGGGGGTCTTGCTGCATTCGTCCTGCTGCCCTCGGCTCCTGAAAGGGGAGGGCTCCTTGAGGACCTCAGAGAGGGGAGAGGCCAGGGAGGCGCTGCAGTCTTCCAGACCAGGGGTCAGAAACCCGTCTTCAGGGTGCGCCTTTCAGGCCACGCTGTCACTGCCACGGCTTCTTCATTCTGCGGGAGCGGTGCCAAAGCAAAATGAAGGGGTATGGCCGTGTCCCAATTACAGTCTGCTGGTCACCATGGAGCTGGCTCCAGCCACGGTCACCTCTAACAGGATAAACCTGAAAGTGGAGAAGATGGACGGCAAGGATTTCATCTCGCCTGGATCCACAGACACGTGAAGGTTGGACACTGAATAAGGAAGACCAAAGACGAATCAATGCGTTTGAACGTGGGTGCTGGTGAAGGGTACTGAAAGCGCCAGTGGACTGCCAAAAGAACCAGCACATCTGCCTTGGAAGAAGTAGCGCCAGAATGCTCCTAGTGGCAAGAATGGCGAGACACGGTCTGCCGTACTTTGGACATGTTGCCAAGATCGACGAGTGTCTACAGAAGGACACCATGCTTGGCAAACACAGGGGCAGCAGAAACGAGGGAGTCCTGAACCACAATAGATGGACGCAGTGGCTGCAACGATGGGCTTAAACTTAACAATTGTGATCCCAATGCACAGCCCACTGTGCCAATGGGACTCCAGTGTCCCAATTACCATCACTTAACCTCTCTTTAGAAGGGAGAATGAGGAAGGAAGCATTTTCTTGCTTATTTTGGACGCATGATCTGGAAAAGCCATGCCTAGAGAGGGACATCCTGTTTGGGAGAGGGTCCAGGGTCAGCAAACTGGAGGAAGCATGCCCATGAGATGGCTATGCATTGGGCTGCTGGTCGTAACACCGACAGTTCAAACCCACTTGCTGCTCCTTGGGAGCCAGAGGAGGCTTTCTAGTTCCGTGAAGAACTACTGCTCACAGCCCCAGAGGCAGGTCTACCCTGTCTTGTAAGGTCACTCTAAGTCAGAAGTGACTCGATGTTTCCTTTGGGCTGGCTCAGTGAACTAAGCACTGGGCTGCTAGCTGCAGGGCCATTGGTTCAAACCCACCTTCAGCAGCAGGGGAAGTGTGGTTTTCTGCTCCTGTGAAAAGTTACATCCCCGAGACTCTCAGGGGCAGTTCTATTGTTCTGTAGGGTCTCTGTGATTAGCGCGTGGGTTTCACGTCATTTTTCACATGAAAACAGACGGAGGAAATGTTCCTTTATGCAGATCCGGTCTGCTGGTTTCAGGCAGGAGTTAGGCTGCTGCAAGCAGCAGGGAGCGCGCCAGCCTAGCTAGGGAGCAAAGGGCAGCGAAGCCGGTTCCCCGGGGCGGGGAGAACTGTAAACGCAAGGTTAATGAGAGGGTGTGAGCGGCCGCTCTTGCTCGCCCGGTCCGTCCGGAAGAGCAGGGTCCGAGGAGGCGCCCGCCGCGGGGCGCGTGTCCGGACTCGCCGGGGCACTTCCCGTGTGCACGTGGGGAGCGGAGACGCGCCGGGGGAACCGCGCGGCGCTCGCTCCGGCAAGGGGGCGGCAGGCACAAGCTGGCCCAGGTCCCCGACGTGGAGTCACGAGCTAAAACTCTGCACAGCGGGCCTCCCGGTGGCGAGGGCCCGCCCGGCCCCGACCCGAGTGGCAGCGCCCATGTCCCCCACTCCTGCCGGGCGGGCGCAGGTGGGGGCACGGAGCCCACGGGCATCCAGGCTTTGCAGCCCGCGGCCGCGGGACCCGAGCAACCCGGGGCCTGGAAACGCGCAGTCGGGCCGCCGAGCGCACCTGCGCGCACCTGCACCCACCTACGC